GACGGAGGATTATCAACAGGAGTGGTGGTTGGAATCGCCATCGGAGGAGTAGCTGTGCTTGTGGTATTGACTCTGATTTGTCTCCTTTGCAAGAAGAAACGAAGAAGACGAGATGATGAAGCTGCTTACTATGTTCCTCCTCCACCACCACCTCCAGCTCCCAAAGGTAATCTCAAAATCGAATCTTGAAACCAAAATTAGAGATTTCTTTCTTTTTTTTTATTTGCATGCTAATTGTCCAATTTCAGATTTGCTACTTGAATCGTTTTTGCAATATAGAAAAATCCGATTTTGAGATTCGATGTTTTCATGTGTTTCTCAGATGGAGGACATTACGGTGGACAACAACAATACTGGCAACAGCAAAACGCATCACGACCGTCAGATCACGTGGTGACGTCACTGCCACCACCTAAGCCTCCCACTCCGCCACCTCCACCACCGCCCTTCATGAGCAGCAGCGGCGGCTCTGACTACTCGGATCATCCGGTTCTTCCTCCTCCATCTCCAGGGCTTGTGTTAGGCTTCTCTAAAAGCACTTTCACCTACGAGGAGCTTTCGAGGGCAACCAATGGATTCTCTGAGGCCAATTTGTTAGGACAAGGCGGGTTCGGATACGTGCACAAAGGTGTATTGCCTAGTGGGAAAGAAGTTGCTGTGAAACAGTTGAAAGCTGGAAGTGGTCAGGGAGAGAGAGAGTTTCAAGCAGAGGTTGAGATCATTAGCCGAGTCCACCACAAGCATTTGGTTTCCCTTGTTGGTTATTGTATGGCTGGTGTTCAAAGATTGCTTGTCTATGAGTTTGTTCCTAACAACAATCTTGAGTTTCATCTCCATGGTTAGACAAAAACTTAACATTTTCTTGTGACAGAACATGTTTTCAGTTAGTGATGATTTTTTGGGAATTGAATTTGTTATAGGGAAGGGACGGCCTACGATGGAATGGAGCACGAGGTTGAAGATTGCTCTTGGATCTGCTAAAGGACTTTCTTACCTCCATGAAGATTGTAAGTTTAATTATATCTGGAAAATTTATGTATAGATGTTTGATAAATACAGAATGTGTTTGTTTATGAGGCACACATGTTTGCAGGCAATCCTAAAATCATTCACCGTGATATCAAGGCGGCAAACATACTGATGGATTTCAAGTTTGAAGCTAAGGTATGATTTGTCTTTACTTGATATGTTTATCAAGGGGTTTTACATTTTGTGTCACTCAAGTAATCTTGTATCCTTTATTAGGTTGCTGATTTTGGCCTTGCCAAGATTGCTTCTGATACAAACACTCATGTATCTACACGCGTGATGGGAACTTTCGGGTAAAGATAATCCTTAAGCTAACTTCTCATGGCGTATATGTTCAGTTTTCTGACTCTTTTGGATTTGGATTTTAGGTATTTAGCTCCGGAATATGCTGCAAGCGGAAAGCTCACAGAAAAGTCAGACGTTTTCTCATTTGGCGTTGTACTTTTGGAGCTAATAACTGGCCGTCGTCCTGTCGATGCAAACAATGCCTATGTAGATGACAGCTTGGTTGACTGGGTAATTAATATAACTGAAATAACCCGAGCCTCTCATTTTTTTTACAATTTGACTGTTGAATGAAGCATAAACTATATGTGGATAATGGAAACAGGCACGACCATTGCTTAACCGAGCATCTGAGGAAGGAGACTTTGATGGTTTGGCTGATACAAAGATGAATAATGAGTATGATAGAGAGGAGATGGCTCGCATGGTTGCTTGTGCTGCAGCTTGCGTTCGCCATTCAGCTCGCCGCAGACCTCGCATGAGCCAGGTAACTTAATTTGACCCTGATCATCCTTTTCTTTAGGGGTTAGCATTATGTTTTCTTGGTTTTGAAACATGTATAATACTAAAAGAAAATTTAGTTTGGTTCTGGTTCGAATTAAATAATTCCAAAACGTAAAAATGAATTTTAAATTAACAATATACAGTTGTATAAATTAGATCTATTTTTAGTTTATATTTTAATTAAGAGTATTATTTTCTAAATATTTTTGGGTTATTTGGGTAGTTTCGGTTGCGCTATCAATGGTTTCATATTGATTTTGGTTCTGTTTATAAGGAACAAAAAATTGTTTACATGTTTTAAAGAAAGTTTGGTTTGATTAAGGAATTTTGATGATTCAGTTGGGTTTTTAGGCATAGCCCTAAACAACACCTTGTTGAATAAAAGCTGACTTGTCTGAATAATTGGCAACATAATTTCTTAGCTGCACTTTTTACTTTGCTACTGGCACTCAACATGTTAATAATGCTAATCAAGCGAGTGATTTGGTGTTAAAAAATGAGTAGATTGTGCGCGCGTTAGAAGGAAATGTATCGCTATCAGATCTGAACGAAGGGATGAGACCGGGCCACAGCAACGTATACAGCTCATATGGAGGAAGCACAGATTACGACACGAGCCAATACAATGACGACATGAAGAAGTTTAGGAAAATGGCACTCGGAACTCAAGAGTATGGCACGACCGGGGAGTACAGTAATCCAACCAGTGAATATGGACTGTACCCATCTGGCTCGAGCAGTGAGGGTCAAGCCACAAGGGAAATGGAGATGGGGAAGATTAAAAAAACCGGTCAAGGTTACGGTGGACCCTCTCTTTAAAGTTCAAACCATTAGAGGGGAGAAGTTGCAGGGTTTTTTGGATTTTCTAGTATATTTTTTTTTAAACTGTAAAGATTTGAGGAATTTGCCTTACTCTAATTGAAGCTTCTACGATATAAGTATTGTTTTTCTTTGGTTTCTTCTTTAGAGGTTGTGATGTTGATACTAAGATTGAGGATTCTTGAATATTATTCTTTCATTCTTTTTTTAGTTTGGAGATTTAAAACCTGAAATGTTGTGATGTAGCTTGATGAAGAAACATGTTTGTTGTGTCTTTGGCTTATTTCGGATAAGTTCCAACAAAATTTTCTTTATAGATCTACCAACAACCACTAATCACATCTATCCAAGTCGCAAATCCTACGTGTCGTCTTTAGAGTGAGTTTAAGACTTAATTTGTCTATATTACCTTTAATGAATCAATATAATTACATATCTTTGTCATCAGCCTTTTTTGTTTATATTTATAATCGATTATATCTTAATAAGTTTGATAATATTTTTGTGCCATCTAAATTTTTTTACTTTTTTACTAAAACAATTGAATTTGGGCCTAACAAAATTTGTAACTCATGTTCAATAGTCGGTTTTGAGAAACCGTAATTACTACCTCCATAATTGTCTATATATAAAAAGTCTAGGGTTTTGTCCATGTTGTATTTTTGCTTTGATATTTATTGTTAGCTTTTTCGTCAGCCACTTTCTTTATTTTTTATATATTATATTTTTCAAATCATGGTTTAGCCCATGTTAAAAATTTGTTTTTTTTTGTCTTTTTCGTTGATTATGATATAATTTTTTCGTCTAACAAGGTTCATGCTGATTGATCGAAGTATAAGTTTCATTATTGA